GCTCGGGTCCCGCGCCCGGCGGCGGGCCCAGCGGCAGCTGCGGGGGTCACCGCGCGTGCGGGGTACAGACCTGAGGGATGGTGACCCCAGACCTGCGCGGAGTCCCGGGGTCACCGCGCGTGCGGGGTACAGACCTGAGGGCGCTGACCCAGACCTGCGCCGAGTCCCGGGGTCACCGCGCGTGCGGGGTACAGACCTGAGGGCGCTGACCCCAGACCTGCGCGGAGAGACCCGGGGTCACCGCGCGTGCGGGGTACAGACCTGAGGGATGGTGACCCAGACCTGCGCGGAGCAGACACAAGTGGGGTGTAGCCATGAAGGGCAACCCCCAGATCTGTGCAGAACCGACACAGGGTCACCGCCCCAGATCTGTAGCGAGTTGCCACAGTGTTGTCTTAAGTCCTGGGTGCAGACATGAAAAATGAGGCCCCGAGATCTGTGGGCAGCAGACAGAAGTGTCATCTTAAGTCTTGGGTTCAGAGGTGAGGGCTGTATCCCCAGACCTGCACCGCCGACGCCCACTTGTATTTCCAGTTGAGGCTTGTTGTGTCCCCTAAAGTCAGGAGGACAGTGCCCAGGTGTGACTGCTGTGCACAGTCTGCATGCATCTGGAATCTTTGTTGTGTTTTGTGTTGGTTATTTTCAGCTCTAGTTTTTGTTGTTTGAATGTTTTTGTGATTTTCCTTCCACAGGGAACCACGATGCAGTTTTCTGGAAACAAGCGCAGAAAGCTGAAGTTAGCAGGTGACCAGAAGAATGCCTGCTACCCTCATAGTCTTCAGTTTTACTTGCAGCCACCTTCTGAAAATGTATCTTTGATTGAATTCGAAAACATGGCTGTTGATAGATTGAAATGTAAGTGATACTTAAATTAGAATGCATGTGTTCTTGAGAAGCCAAGTTACAGTTTATGGGAATGAATGGTGGTGCTTTAATTCACCTAGGAGTCTGTTCAACAAATATTTGTTAATTTTATTTATTGTAACATGCATATTTATCAAATACTGTTATGTTTGTTCTAGGTAACAGGAATCTGATATGAATAATATAAACTCATATTCTGATACTTGGAGACAGACATCTAATTTAATAGTAATAAATCAGTTTTATTATTGCTCTAGTAGCAGTAAGCACTGGGGTACAGGAACATGGAAGTGGAAGTAACTTACTTTGCCTACTTAGATATGGCTTCTTAGAGAAGTATGGTCTGGACCTTGATGGCTGAGTAGAAAATTTGTAGCAGAACAAATAAAGGGGTTTTGCAAGCAAGCACCTATCAGGGATGCTTCCTCTGGGTCATATGATGGGTCTTGTGTCTCCAAGACTGTGTTTGCCCCTCTGCTTCATCAAAAGAAAAAGGTCTCACCCCCTTCTTTGTTGGTATTGTGATTTGGAAGTTAGTCTCATGCTTGTTAGGAAGGTACTCTACTACTTGAGCCACACCACAGCCTTTCTTTTGCTTTAGCAAAACATGAGGTCTTGAGGTTTTGTGTTTTTTGTTTTTTTTTGGCTGGTTGTGGGGCCTGAACTCTGGGCCTGGGCGCTGTCCCTCAGCTCTTCAGCTCAAGGCGAGCACTCTACCACTTCAACCACAGCACCACTTCTGGCCTTTTCTGCTTATGTGGTGCTGAGGAATCGAACCCAGGGCCTAAGACATGCAAGACAAGTGCTCACCACTGAGCCACCTTCCCAGCCCCAGGTCTTGAGTTTTTGCTTATGCTGATCTTCAGATGGTGACCTTCTGTCTGTGGCCTCCCATGTAGCTGGGATCACTGGTATGTACCACCATGCCCAGCTTATTGGTTGAGATAGGGTCTTGCTATTCTTTTGCCTGGTCTCAAACTGATCCTCCCAATCTCTACTTCCCCAGTGGGTGAGATTACTGGGAATATCCATTGTACCAGGAAAAATTAGTTTTTGTTTTCTGTTTTCTGTGGAACTGAGGTTTGAACTCAGGCCCTTGTATGAAAGTATTGTACCTTGAGCCCACCCTCACTTCTCTGTTCTGACTATGATTATGGTTAAGATTTTTAATCAAGAGTCAGTGCTGAGTACTGGAAGCAGACTGCCTGCCAGGCAGCTTCACAAGAAGAGCACATTGGGTTTAAGCTTGTTTCCTATACTGATGGTTTAGTTCCCTCAGTGCAGCAGAGATTACATGCCATTCCTTCTGTCCTTGGCTGAGCATCGATGGTGTTATCTTCTGCTGTGGGACATGAATGTCTTCTGCACAAGGAAGGACACATTAACCTCTCGTGGACTTGCGCATTCTACTCTCAGGAAAGAAAACTTACACTATCATTTTCTGAAAACATTGGGGAATTGCTGTCCATGGATTTTTGTCCTGGATTTTGGTTTTTCTATTTGAATACTTCCTTTATATAGTTATGTATAAGCTTTTTTCTTTTTGTTTTCTCTTAGTGCTAAAAGTGGTGGAAAATCTTGGGGTGAGCTACGTGAAAGGAACGGAGCAGTACCAGAATAAGTTGGAAAGTGAGATTCGCAAGCTCAAGTTTTCGTACCGAGTAAGTGAAAGAGAAATACCTCCTTGGTTTGTGTGTGTGTTCTGTTAGTGTTGAGTTACGAAAAAGTCTCCTGTTAGGCACAGGGCTTTGACTTAGATCCTCCTATTCTCAGCCACTAACTAACTACCTAGGATCATAGGTATGAGCCACTGGCACCCACTTTTTTTTTTTTAAGTCAAGGTCTTGCTATGTGAATCAGGCTGGCCTTGAGCTCAGCTCTTCTGCCTCAGCCTCTCAAGTGTTAGGATTATAGGCATGCACCAGTGTATCTGGCTTGGCATTGCATCTTGACAGATGTGATCATGTTTTTATTCTTGGAGAATGACTGAACAGCAGGTTGATACGGCTAGGTCTGAGGAATGGAAATAGGCCTGATGGAAATGGTGGGAAAATGAATTAGAGCAGGAGATGGATGGAAGAGATGTTAAGAATGTAGAATCAAAAATGGTGTGACTTATTATTTGGGGAAAGTGGAGAGGAAGATATGGATGAACCCAGGCCTTGGTTAGGGAATGAGGTAGATGAGTGTGGTGTATAGCAGGGAAAATGAGTCTCAGTTTTGTTCTGGCCATCACTTGGAGTGTCTGTGGAGACATCTAGAGGAGACTAGGTGAGTGTGGACTTGGAGCCCTCTGTAGTAGGGGTGTGCTTTGGAGGGGGAACATCCTAGGAGAATAATGTGAAGAGGAAAGGATGGGGAACAGGACATGGGGGCTACCAGATTGAAGGTGAAGAGGGATGGGAGGAGTGTGGGAAGGAGATAGAGAAGGAACTTCTGGAGAATGAGGTGATAAACCTCATTCTAGGAGGGTGGTCTTACCAACAGTGTCAGTATGAACAGCAGCAGACCTTTGGATCACCCTCAGTATGCACTGGATTTTGTTCTAAGTGCATCCATATCTTACCTGGTGGGTTTTTCTTCATCCCTATTCACAGACGAGGAAACTTTTATTTACTGATGGTCAGGCTCAGGAGATGGGACATCAGGCGTTTACTTCTGTGGTGCTACACCAGCAGCCTCAGAAACCTAGGACAGGTCCAGTGAGATGGATGTTGCTGTGCCCACTGGACTTTGCAGCTGGGGGCAGGGACCAGAACAGTGGTCTTGGCTGGAGAAGGGAGGTGTTTACGGAATGTTTAGCATTTCAGCTGAAAGAACAGGAAAGACGGCGGAGTTTGGGTGTTTGGGAGAAAGGAGGTTCACAGCACATGCAAAGGGATGCATACACACACAGTTGGTGTTGCTGAAATTTGAAGGGAGAGGAAGGAAGCTTGAAGACACTGGAGGGGACTTGGGCACATCAAGTCCTTCAGAGGCAAGAACACGAGTTTTGGAGGAGCTCGGGGAGGGGTTGGCTTTACATACCAGGAAGGGAGATGTTGTGTCTGTGAAGATGGAAAGTAGCGTAGCACACCATGGGCGCCCCGGGGAGCCTGAGGAGCTGTATGCCTAGGGGTCCTTGTTGTCCATTGGCAAAGGTCAAAACAGCCTTTCTGTGACGCAGAGGGGAAGCAGTAATTATATGTCACATGTCGTCTCTGCTGCTCTCTGCCTTTGGACCTGGAGTGTCCTCTGTAGGCCTTTGGCTTCAGGGCTTGGTATTTGGCTTAATGCTTCTGGAAGGTGGTAAGCCCAGGAATTGGGCTCTGGTGGGAAGTGTAGGTTATTGGGACAGCCCTGGAACATGGGGGGACCTTGGTCCTAGAGCCTGGGGGGGATCTTGGTCCTGGAGCATGGGGGGCCTTGGTCCTAGAGCATGAGGAGACCTTGGTCCTAGAGCATGGGGGGACCTTGGTCCTAGAGCATGGGGGGACCTTAGTCCTGGAGCCTGGGGGGGATCTTGGTCCTGGAGCATGGGGGACCTTGGTCCTAGAGCATGAGGGGACCTTGGTCCTAGAGCATGGGGGGACCTTGGTCCTGGAGCATGGGGCCTTGGTCCTGGAGCCTGGGGGAGGTGTAGGTTACCGGGGCAGCCCTGGAGCAGGGGGGGAACCTTGGTCTCTTCCCTCTTTCTTCCGTGTTCCATGAGGTGAGAAGCTCTGCTTTGGCATGTGTTGCCCACCCCAAAGCAGTGGGGCCAAACCCTATGAGCCAGAAATGAGCCTTTGACAGTGCTGGGAATTGAACTCAGAGCCTTGTGCTCTCTGGGCAGATGCTGTGCCACTTGAGCCTCACCTGTAGCTTCCAGCCTTTCCTTTTTCAGGTTGGTTATCCTGAATAGTTAGTTATAGTACAAGAAAAGTAATGAACTTTGTAACTGGACAAGTTCTTGACTTCTCAGAGCCTCGGTCTCCTCATTTTAAAGATATTTCAGTGCTTCTACCCTAGACCCCTGTTCAGGATTAAATGGCTTGATACATGAAGAAGGCTCAGCACAGTGTCTGGTACCAACTTAGTACCTAAAAGTTCAGATCTTGCCACTTCAGACTCAAGTATTCATTGGCATTGCCATGGGTCTACTTAAAATTACAGGCTGTTGGAGGGGTGGGAGATGGGAAGGGATGAGAAGGGGAAACAAAGGAGGAGGCAACAATGCTTGATAAGAAATGCACTCATTACCTTGCCCATGTAATTGTAACCTCTCTGTACGGTATTTTCACAATTAAAAAAAAATTACAGGCTGTAAACTTTATATCCCAAATTCCTGTCATTGTGCATGTATTTAGTTATTTTACAGAATATCTTGGCATTTTGGGAATAAGGTCAGAGAGTTTAGCTATAGGTTAATTTAGAATATTGGTTAATGAAGCTGAGGATTGATGGTTAAAGTGTACGGGCTGGATAGGATTGCGTCTGCTCTGAACCCAGGTGCAGTTGATTAAATGAGATCAGGTCAGATCTGATTATAATGGAAGTAAAGTGACAATTATCAAGCAAGGCATGAATGTAACATATTTTTGTCACTTTTACTTTAGCTTTGGGTTATGCTGACTCAGTGTTTATATCTGCTCTTGTTCAAAGGCTATTCTAATCCTATTCTATTCATGTGCCTTTTTTTTTAAAGGAAAACTTGGAGGATGAATATGAACCACGAAGAAAGGATCACATTTCTCATTTTATTTTGCGCCTTGCATATTGCCAGTCGTGAGTATGCATTTATTTATATCCTCACAGTCAGGTTTGATGTCTTGGTTATAAATGGGTCTGTGGAAACTTGACACATTACACTGAGTGTGTTATGCTGAATTCAGAAAAACTCGAGGAGCCAGTCTTTCGTGGGTTGAATATTAAAGGGAACCTTTATGGAACAACCTGTTTTTATTTAAAAAATATTGAAAAATTTATTTTAAAATTTACTTGATGAGCTGCTTTTTAGCTTTATAGGAGAGACTATGATAACAATTAGAAGGGTGAAGCTGGCCACCAGTACCTCACACCTGTCATCCTAGCTACTCAGGAGGCTGAGATCTGAGGATCATGGTTTGAAGCCAGTCTGGGCAGGAAAGTCTGTGAAATGTCTACTCAGAAAAAGCCAGAAGTGGCACTGTGACTTAAGTGGTAGAGTGCTAGCCTTTAGCAAAAGGAGCTCAGGGACAGTATCCAGGCTATGAGTCAAGACTCAGGTTAAGCACACAAACAAAAAAATTAGAAGGGGTTTTTTTTTGGGTCTGGTCGTGGGGCCTGAACTCTGGGCCTGGGCGCTGTCCCTCAGCTCTTCAGCTCAAGGCTAGCGCTCTACCACTTGAGCCACAGCGCCACTTCCAGCTTTTTTCTTTTTGCTTATGTGATGCTGGGGAATCGAACCCAGGGCCTCAGGCATGCAAGGCAAGCACTTTACCACTGAGCCACCTTCCCAGCCCTAGAAGGGTTTTTATTAGGAAGGATTTTTAATACTTTTTCTAGAGAAAAATGTTTAGAAGGAAAAGGAGTTGCACACATACTTGAATTTGATATGTATCTTTAGAATTTGAGGTGTCTGTACTAGACTTTAGTTTCTTAAGTCAGTGGTGCCACCCAGAGTTGAGAACGAGTTAGTAGCTTTTTCAAAATTTTGTTTTTTTTCCTCTCCCTTATTATGGCCAAATAATATGGTTATTATGTTTGTTTTTAGTAGTAGGCTTATCAGGTGAGGTTCTTGAATTTTTTACTCTCCCAAAATTATAACTGAGAGATTACTCATCAACTTTGGCCCTAGAGTTTTTTTGTTTTGTTTTATGGAAGAGCATATGTAATTTATCTAGTAAATGGATTTCTTACAATGTATAAAAGCTAACCTAAAAAAGGCAGGCACTCATGGCTTACGTCTGTAATCCTAGCTACTCAGGAGACTGAGAGCCGAGGATCACATTCAAAGCCAGCCAGGCAGAAAAGTCCATGAGACTCTTATCTCCAATTTGCCACCATCAAACCAGAAGTAGAGCTGTGACTCCCAAGTGGTAGAGGGTTAACTTTGTGCAAAATAGCTCTGGGACAGTCCCCAAGCCCTGAGTTCAAGCCTCAAGACAAAAAAAACAAACCAAAAACCAAACACCTAAAAAGTAAAATTGTATTTTACATGCAGTACAATGATTATTTAATAATATAACAATGTCACTAATTTACCGTGTCTTAGAGGTAAATACACTGTCCCTCAGCTCTTCAGCTCAAGGCTAGCACTGTACCACTTGAACCACAGAGCCATTTCTGGCTTTTCCCCTATTTTGTACTGAGGAATCGAACCCAGGACCTCATGCATGCAAGACAAGCACTCTAACACAGAGCCACCTTCCCAACCCATGAGATAAATATATTATTATACTTGCAATATTGAAGCATATTGTGCACATTACATTTTGTGAAATTATAAGTTATAAAGCTTAATAACTTTGTAAGATTTACTGAGGTTAATTTATTTGGAGATAAAATTATCTTTAAAAAATTGTTGTTTATTTGGCCTTGATGAAACCACCTCAGAGAATGGAATACCCCTTCTTTCCAATGTCAGTGCCTCAGACATTCAGTGAGCTTTTAAATTTTATACCCAACAGATTCCTAGAAAATGGTGTTTGAGGACGTGTCTTCTTTTAATTGCTGTCATTTGGCATACTGATTGTCTCCCAGTATTGTCTCAGAGTAATTTCTTGATTTAATAACCATTGGATTTTGTATCTGTGCTTAAAATCCTTGTCTCCATTTCAGTGAAGACCTTAGGCGATGGTTCATCCAACAAGAAATGGATCTCCTTCGATTCCGCTTTAGCATTCTACCCAAGGACAAAATTCAAAGCTTCCTCAAGGACAGCCACTTGCAGTTTGAGGCTGTAAGTATGTTTTTGTGGATCTCCAGTTGTTTTCATGCTACTTTTTACTGATATTAAATGTAGAGTCCATTTTCTTTATATTTCTGAGCACCTGCCTGAAAAACTAATGAGTGGTTTTGCATCTGAGGGGACATTACAGCAGTGAAGTTGAGGCGGGGAGTGCTTTTAGTTTGGAAGTCACTTGTCGGTAAAACCCACTCCTGGCCTCTCAAAACTCACTTCCATATTGGATTCACGTGACAGGTTGTCTTCTGTATTTGCGGGTTCATCTGCAGATACCACCTACTGTGGGTCAAAATATTTGAAACAATACTTGTGTCTGTACTGCGCACATAGAAACTTTTTTCTTTATTCCCTAAACAATATAGTAATATAGCTGTTTATGTGGCACTGTGTATTAGTTATTACCGGAAATCTAGAAGTGAGTTAAAGGGGAAGTGCTGGGGGGAGGGGGAGGGCGGGGAGGTTGCAGGTCATAGAGGGGCTGAGCTGCTCAATGTGATGTCTTGTGGGGAGCGGGGTGGACGTGGGAAGCCTTGCCAGTCTCATGAGCATGAGCGCTCATTTCCGGGACATTGCCTTCCTTTATTCCTAATCATAGCCACAGCTGCGGCTCTGAGGAATTGAACTGCAACATTAGTTTTGGTGGGGACAAACTGCAGGCCAGTCACAGGACAAATTAAATCCTAGAGACACAGTTAAATTTGATGGATTTTCTAATCTGTACCTGTGTTTCTTCATGCTTGCTTAGTTACTATTATGCTGAGGATTGAATTTAGGGCACCTGTGCACCCTGGGTAAGCACTGTACCACTAAGCTAAAACCCAGGCTCTTTCTTTATCTTCAAAAGTGGGATAATATTCTCGACCTCACAAGATTGGAGGTTTAAGCAGCAGGATGTGTGGCCTGCCTGGGCCTGTACACACAGCACTTGGTGCACATGGCCTGCCTGGTGCCGTGGTAGCAGGTGACCTGAAGGAGAGCAGAAGCGGCAGAGCTTGCACCTGTCAGCTGGAAACAGGAATTTATGAGACATTAAATACGCAGGGTTTATTTTTTTGGGGGGTCCAGTCATGGGCTTGAACTCTGGGCCTGGGTGCTGTCCCTCAGCTCTTCAGCTCAAGGCTAGTGCTCTACCACTTGAGCCACAGCACCACTTCCGGCTTTTTTGTTTTTGCTTATGTGGTGCTGAGGAATGGAACCCAGGGCCTCATGCATGCAAGGCAAGCCCTCTACCACTGAGCCACCTTCCCAGCCCCTAAATACGCGTTTTAACCAGTGTATTGCAAATGAGAATTGTGTTTTGTTGGTTTCCCCCCAGCCCCCCGGGGTTTTTGTACTTAAGGTTAGTGCCCTACCTCTTGAGCCACAGCGCCACATCTGGCTTTTAATTGGAGTTAATTGGCGATAAGATTCTCACGGACGTTCCTGCCTGGGCTCCAGACAGGCATGAGCTACCAGCACCCGGCTATTTATTTTTTAGTTAAGTGATTCTGGGGGGGGGGATTGGATAGAGAGGCATTCTTCTGAGGGGTACCTGGGGAAGCCAGTGGAGGTGGGAAGATTGCTGCTTCCTCCAAGTGGAAATGTGCCCCATGCTTTGGAAAGCGAAGTGTTGAATGTAAGCCTTGACCCAGTGTCTGTGATGGTGGAGATCTGTGGTAGGCAGAGTGAGGAAGTACTGCCTGGGTCCTGGAGAAAATCACTCATTCCTGTGTAGACTTCAGTCACTTTCCCGTCGGGCCTCTTGGCTGTTTTTGTACTGTTCTCTCATGACTCCTAACACTGGCAGTCAAGGTCCTTGAACTCAGGTGTTGATTAGATTTCCCCTGAGGTCCCCATAACCTCTTCCTGTTTCATTTTAGGTTTTCTCAGCTCTTACTATTTCATTGATATAAACACGCACATTTTCTTCACTGTAGTGTGACTGTTTGGCTTTCATTTGAAACCTGTTCTAACCGAACAGATACTTGCTGTGCTTTTAGAGCCAAATTAGCAAGGATGTAGGGAAGGGTATTAGCATTTGTCGCGTGCAGTGCTGCCTGGCCTGTGATCTGCCTGGGTTGGCAGAAGGAGATGGCAGAGGGTGAGGAGCCTCAGGGCCATCTGGTTTTCGTGTCACAGAAGCTGTATTTTGGCCTAGGTCTTAGAGTACCTGGACTTAGGTGCTGTTTTCTGTAAAATAAACCTGCTGCACATTCGGTGCAAGTGACCTTACACAGGTTCCCAGGCTCCTTCCACTGGAAGATCTGGTGTCCCAGGCCCGGCGCCAGCCTCAGTCCAGCTCCTCTCCATTTACTTAGGTGTTTTACAATGTCTTCTGGATGGTTCTTTTGAATGCCAGTGGGTCTAGTGGCAGGAATTTTCACTTGAACAGTACAGAGTGTCAGGGACCGTAATGGGCTGGGGAGTGCTCTGCGTGTTACACATGTCAAGTGCATTTCAGAATTAAAAGAACTTTAGGTTCAGAGAGTGAAGGCAATGACCTCATGCTTTGCTCACTAAAAACATTGTAAAACCTTGAATTGCTATTTTTTCTCACTTTACAATATTTTTTTTTCTTATCCTAAACTTTCAATTTAAGATTTCTAGTCCCTTGTAATTTTAAATCTCAGACAATATTTCATGTAATTCTTGGTTGGTAATTTATTTTCAGTGATTAATTGAACATTGAAACATTGATTTGATTTTACATGTGTGGAATTTTTATAATGGTTTTGGTATTTACTTGTTTATCATTTTCTCTTAGATATTTGTAAATGAGAGAGTCCTTTTTTCCCTCCTACAATTTTGTTCCTTGTTCTATTGTTTTCAGTTAGCTGATTTTTTTGGGGGCGGGGGGAGGTGTTATAGTATGTAGAGTATTCTGTGTGTTACAAATGTCAAGTCCATTTCAGAATTAAAAGAACTTTATGCTCAATTCCTTTATGTTCAGAGAAGTGAGTTTTTGGGAGTTATTCATCATTGTGGGCTATGCAGCTGTAACAGAAACACACAAAAGGCTCAAGTCATAAACCTTTCTATTGAAAGAACAAATTGAAGTTTACTAAGCAGAATAATCCCTCAAAAGCAGCTCAGTGGAAAAAGCTCATTTTACGTATAACATATCTATCTCCTAATTCTTAGTCCTGAGAAAAAGGGTAAGATTTATGTTTTTATCCTCCCCTTGAAGATGTCAATGCTCCCAGATTGAACAGTTACAAACATTAGCAATATTACTACTGTTATTTCTAGAAATCAAAAATAAGAGAACACCATGGTTGGAATATGCTTACTACTCAGCCTTGGAAAATAAACAATTTACCTTTCCCATCAGATGATGAAGCTGGTTCTCTCCTTGACCTATCTAGTCAGGCTCCTAAACTTTCTTTTTTAACCAGGACCTACTTACTTAGTTTTAGCAGCAGTTCGGCTATCAGCTCAATATCTTAACAATTGTCAGATTAGCCAAGAATTCCCTAATTTACCATGCTCCTCCACCTCCCATCCTTGGCTATAAAGGCTCACTTTTCCTAGTGTACTAAGAGTTGGATTCAACTCTCCTCTGCTATACAGCCTGTTTGAGTGGCTGCACCTGGAATAAAGTGCTCCCTACTGCCTTTGACAGGTGTCCTGAGGAATTTTCTTGTTTAGTACCTTTGATCTGCTATTCAGTGAGCTTTTACTATTGAGCTGTTTTTGAGTGTTAGGATGATTAGCAAACTTTGATTTGTTCTTTATCTAAGTAGAAACATTTATGACTTAGAGCCCTTTGTGTGTTTCTGTTACAGCAGTACAGTTTGACTTCTTTCCAAATGGTTCAAGTGAGGGCATTCATATAGGGCATGCTGTCTATACAGAGACTCCGTAAACCTGATGCTTTTGTGCTCACGGTGGTGTTTGTATCAAATAATTATCTTTACATTATTTCAGCTATATTTATTGGACAGGTATAATAAAATATTGGTAACTTTTATATTTGAAGAATAAGGAAAATGTTCTTTAAGTTTTCATGTTAGTTGATATGTGACCATTTGTGTCTATAGTGGTAAAAAATCCATGGCAGATGGTCTTTGGTGGCAATATTTTAAAGTTAACAGAATATGTTATCAAGCTACAAAACTAGAGCCTGCTCACCATAAGGTAGTTTACATCTATAGATGTTGGGGCAAAATGTGAAACTTCAACCTAATTGCCCATGAAGTCTCAAATTAAATATGCAAACACTTTCAAGCTAACTTTTGGAAGTCTTTTTTTTTTTGCCAGTCTTGGGCTTGAACTCAGAGCCTGTGCACTGTCCTTGAGATTCTTTGCTCAAGGCTAGTACTCTACCACTTGAACCACGGTACCACTTTGGGCTTTTTCGGTTTATGTGGCACTGAGGAATCAAACCCAGGTCTTCATGCATGCTAGGCAAGCACTCTATCACTAAGCCACATTCCCAGCCCCATCTGTGTTTTTTAGCTTTTCATACAGTTTTCAAATGTAGATGTTTTTGTTGTTGGTTTTTGTTTCACAGTCATGGGACTTGAACTCTGTGACTGGGTGCTGTTCCTCAGCTATTCAACTCAAGGCTAGTGCTCTACCTCTTAAGCCACAGTGCTACTTCCAGTTTTCTAGTGGTTTATTGGAGATAAGAGTCTCACAGATTTTCCTGCTCAAGCTGGCTTTGAATGGTGATGTGATCCTCAGATCTCAGCCTCCTGAGTAGCTAGGATTATAGGCGTGAGCCACTGGCACCCTGGTAAATGTAAACTTCTTTATATTTACATTGTTTGATTCCTATTCCTGACTTTGCCCTTGAAAAAATGTGACTTTAAATTAGTGGAAATTCTCCTATGTGGAGCTATGTCCTAAGGCCTTATAATGTTACACTATCATATATACCTATGTATACATTATGAAAAATAACCTTGCTGAAAAACATTTCTAGTTTTAAATTTTAAACATACTGTGAAGTGCTACTCATGTTTTCTAGTGGTCTCCTAAAAAAGATACAGAGCTTTCCTAGGAATACAGGA